CCTTCAGTTACCATTAGATTGATGAATGTAAATAAATCATCATCCGGAAATTAATTTCACCGAACACCCTATCAGAAACTCGTAACTGTTCGAGACTTACTTCACATTGTTCCGAATGACGTGTTCGAAAACGCGGATGGCGTTATTCGATGACGGAACGTATCCTCCTCTCCTGTTTGTTCGGCGGAATCGTGATCCTGGAAAACAGATCGGTTTTCGAAACTTGTAAATAAAACTGGCGGCGTTTCGATTAAATCTCGCGCGAACGTGGTATCAGGCCGTTCGTCGAGTAAAAGTGATGAAATACGTTGCGCTGACACGGAGCACACGCGATAAAATATTTGATATGTAGGCAGCGATAAAATCGGGACTCGGTTAAATGGAAGAGAAACACGGTGAAGCGGCAATTATCCTGATAAGTGGAGAGGCAACATTCGAGGCTCGATCGCTACGCGAAAATTCAAACGCGTTTAATTCGGAATATTTAACTAGTCGACCCAGCGTTAACTCTGAGTTATGATTTCTGATACGATTCCCCGTATTTACCATCACAATCTTTCCTTAGAAAGTTACTTCGATTCCTCCACCCTGTCAAACGTTTACTCTTTAGGATAGTTACACCCCTTCGAAGCTTACATTGTCTGAGTATCTTGAATTGTGTTATTTAATATAGTATGTCCCAACTGTTTTAAATAAACGTGAAAAAGAATGAAATTTGTAATTTTAATCGAAAGTATATGATGTCTCGTCTAAATAAAATATATCTTAACTGAATTTCTCGAAGGGTGCATTGTATGTTGCAGAAAAGATTGAAATTATACGCTGTCATTTGGCAGATGACGTATGTATTTCTGTCCCCAAAGATGATGCTAAAATTTGAAACATTTCGACCTAGATAAGTGGATATAACGAATCGTAACTTTTTCAATATTAATTTTCAGACGTGACCTGAGTGTTCTGGTGAATAATTGAAGATATTGTTATGATTCCTATGAAATTAATATGTTATTGAACGCACACTCTAATTAAATAAATGACATTACTGGTAATTTCAATATTTTCCTTGCTTTTAACGATGCAATTAAATCTCAATTTCGCTACTGTTTTTTTCGCAGCACAATATTGATGAGTTTCTTTATCCAAATTGATTAATGTTCTAAATGGAAAAATTCTATTTCACTGTTATAGAAACTCGTCCAGTCCCACTTTTCTAGCATGATAATTAAACAGTGACCCACTTTCTATTGTCCATATATAAAAATATATTTGTTAGAGAATAGGTTTCGTAAACTATTGAGTATCTATTTATGAAGTTTCGATAAAATTGGTGCATAACACGTAGCGTGGTATCCCTGTCAGTATGCATGCAAAAATGGGAATCAAACTTTGAAGCCATATATCGAAATAAACAAAAAGTAATGAATAATTTCGCCAAACGTGGCCCCGAGAGATCCTTTGTTTTAGATTCATGAATTGGGTCTTGGAGGATCCAGAACCGTGGATCATCGCGACATAAAATGGAAATCGAATGCGAATATTCGATATTTCCGCGTGTCCAAGTGATTTTAATGCCTGGCGAATGTTTTATCGCTGCTTCGATCAAATTCTTCGTCCGAGGGTCGCGTAGGACACCAAGAATCATTCTTCGAGGACAGATAAATAAATTGCGTGCGAATAAAATTCTTTACAAATATAAATACATTGCACATCTCTTTGAAGAACGAATTGAAATCACGGAAAAATATTCCCTCGTATCGATTCGTTGCTTTGTCTCCTTTTCCCTCAAGTTTCAACGACGTCCTCGCAAGTTTGGTTATATGAAGTGACCCGTCGGACTATTTGCGTTCAACGGATTTGTTTTATCGCGCTGTGAAACATGCCGCGACGCTAGTATTGATCTAATCCCCGTCGAGGGGCGCGTTTTGTTCGCCTGGAAAACAAATATCGCATCTGCTCTGAAACTAGTAAACAAGAGGCGGATACGGCCAGAACTTCGGTCTATCCTATAAGTGCGAGGAAATACACTCCTGGAGGAAAAGAAAACACGCTTGTGCTATCGCTAGGTTCTCAGAAATCGATTCAGAATTCACCACACTCGACAAATGGCACACAAACGTTACCTTAAAATAATACACAAGTTATGTTTAGCAACCGAGATTAAAAACTCAAGTGACAATTCTACAAAATTCTGCGCTCGCTATAGCTTCATTCCCACATAGAATCATGCATTTTTTCGCTCGATAGAGCAAGTCGAACTTCCACCAAGGAGGCGGCGCGTAGTTCGAAAACATCTTCGAGACCCGTTCGTTTTTTTTCTCCGTTCGAATCGTTTCCTGTTTATGCGGCAGAATGCAATTAAGGAGATTGGAATTGTTAAAGAACCGTCCGGTTTCGAGGCACGCAAGAAGAACGGTGAATCATTTCCAGAAGAAGCTGTTCGATTCGTACGGCTATACATATTCCGCGTGCGCTGCCTCGAAACTTTCGGTTACTTTTTGGCCGCTCTCGTTCAACTGTTGCATAATGGAATTCTTTTTTCGAATTCTCGAAATAACTTCGGGAGTTTATTGTCGGTGTTCGAGACATTTCTCTCCTACGTGTCAGTGCGCCACGAACGCAAACTATTTCCAACGTCCACCGAACATAAATATTAAACTGTCCCAGAAAATACTGTGCGTTTCATTTTAAACTTCTGACAAATTATTTTTTGATATCTTAAAATCGAGGACCATCGACTTTCAAGCCTGATTGCGTTTGAGTCGAGAAATCTTTCTAGCTAACTCGATGAAATAACAATTGCTTAGTGTTAATATAATGTTTACTCACTGTGGACGCTCCGTACGTTTCAATGGACAAGGGTAATTTTCGGGGATCCTTTTGTCAAATCTGCTTAAGGGGGAGTCTCATTTGAGACCTCAAAAATATCAATTTTTTTTTTTTACTTTCGAAACGACGAAATTTTACAATTTTTACTTTAAGCTTTCACCATTTTGTCAATTTGCAACATAAATTAATTATTTTGGTACGGGTTATAATTGTGAATCTACCGAATAAGAATCTTTTTGATTTTTTTGATTTAGTCAACCTTGAGAGCCAGTGTTTAAACACATGTTTACCGCGGACGTGATAACAACATTAAAAGTTAATAAAAATTAATAAAAAAATTATCTTGTATTCCCAAAGGATAGCTAAGTAAACTGCAAAAAAGAATCATAACGTCGAATGTAACATTTCCTCAAAAAAAATTAAGAAAAATGGTTCAATTTTCTATCATTCACATGAGACTCCCCCCTTAACACTTTAACTGCCACGTTACCCATATATGGGTGACAGAACTTTTAACAGTAGAACTGTAATAATGAATTCTCAAGTTGAAATGTTAAAGAAAATAAATTTTAATGAGGTTACGAAAGCAACTACTACGACAACTTTTAAGTTGCGTAGTTTACAATTGCCTAAAATGAAAGTTTTGGTCCCGTGAACAATTTTAGGATTTTAGACTGGCAGTGAACGCGTTAAGTCGGTCGACGCGAGGATAGAGGAGAATGAGAACTGCAGAATTTAAGCGTATTCGAAAGAATCGGTTCTGGAATCGCGATGGAACCGGGAGGTACGAGGGCACCGTTCCATGGCGTGCTTTGTCGCCTGGTCGGCTACTCGTTAAAGGAGCCTCGCCTCGTAAAGCACCGAACATTGTAAAGCGCCGGACCATTGGTGGAATTTATGCGGCGCACTCCATTCGGTTCCTGCCCTTTGACAGTCGACCCCGATCGTGAAATAGCACGCACTGCCAATAGCATCGGTCGCCGACGTATGGTCGCGTTACCAGCCGGGGAAAAAATTATTATATTCCGCGGCAAACGAATTGTTCTCGTACCGAACAACGAATGAAAGTTCCGAGTGGAATCTGTGATGCGTTCGAGCATTGATTACACGGAAAGGAGAACGGCATTCTGGTTTAATGAATTTCCAACGGAACGTGCACTGCGAGCCAAAGAACGAGGCGCGTCGAATGTTTCCCAAATTGTCCATCATTAGAGAAACTTTCGCGTTAGATTAGATTCGGTTAAATTACTTTAATACTCTGATTTGGATACACCAGCATAAGCGGGGCGTATGATTCGTTTAAAGAAATCTGTATCAATAATTATTATTTCTTTATGGCAACCGGTTTTGTAAAACAATCTATACAAATACGAATCGAATGTGTAATCGCAAACTATCTGTATTGTAAGGAATGTATATTAGTGTATATGTATATGTCGATTATGGAAGTGTTTAGGCCGAAAAGGTTCGACTTCGATGGTCGAGAGAAGTCTCTTATATCTTTTATGTACTTTGTGTCAAATAGTTTATCGTAATATTAAATAATATAGTATAGAATCATTGAATTCGACCACACGCCTGCAACCATCCCTGATATCCCAACAGTATCGCCCAATCGTTAATTTCCCGCGTTCAGCTTTGACGGGGACGAAAATGAAAAATAAAATCAAAATACGTTTCATCGTCGAACTCGTTGAAATAATTTTCGATTCGTCGATTGAGTTTGTTAATTGAAACAAGATTGAAAACGCCGGCCATCGAATAAGAACGATCGCCATTGATAGATGAACGAGCGAAAGTTCGCCGAAAGGTAAATAATTTCGACAAGTATCGCGTCAGCGATGTTTTCTTTTAATTAGCCGCCGGAAACTACGGGCCACGAAAGTTTCCAATTCGTCGTTCATCTTTCGCCAAAGTACGTATATCAAACTGAACGAAGTCTCGCGGAAACATTGCTGGCCACTTAATTTGCGCGAGCTCGCAACGGAACTCTACCGGACGAATCATCTTTCCCCGAAGAAATTACTTTCGAAAGTTCCCGGCGTGCTTTCGCGTCTATTCTATCCACCTTGCGTTGTTTTTAATTCTCTTGATTCCCTCCCGTTCGTACGGTAGATAGAATTGGATATTCTTTACGAGCGAGTTGTATGTGAAAAATTACAGAACGTACGTACGGAGTTAATGTAGTTGTAGAGCGAGAGTCCATCGTCCCAGGGTTCCTCCCTCTCGCAGGACAAATTGGCGGGCCTCAAATCGTGACTGCGATCCAACGCTGCCAAACCGTGCGCGAAAACCTGAACACTGTCGTACACCAAAGCTGGTTCTGCCTGAAACATACGGTTCCCTTCGCGTGAAAAGCTGTTCGAAATGACTCGCGACGCAAGGCAAATATTGCTTTTACCCAGAGAAAAATAATCAATATCGAGGTAGTTCTGTTAATCAGAATATATATTCGATATAGTAAATGTTTATCAAGTAATATTTATTAACTCCGTAACGTTATGTATGGAATTTTTCGTAAATCAAGTAGTACGAAGCGCGTCTAGTCAGACGCAGACTTCACCTGGGCTGGCTATGTCCGCGCCAATACTACTTACAATTCCTCCCAAGATTCTCTTACTACTAGTCTCAGCGATGAAATTTTTATTTTGTAACTCTATCGAAACACTAGTTATTTCAAAGTTTATTTTTGGTATCTAGCTCAATAATTAAATTAATATAATTTTCAAATAACGCTGCAGGAAAAAATTACTGAATTCCATTTTAAATTAGATCTACTAAAACGAATGCTAAAAAATGTATTATCCTACATTACTTACGTTACCAATTAACTTAAATTTTACGCTTAACGAGAGTACATTTGAAATATTGTTCAGAACTCGGTAAAATTGAGCGAGAAGTAAAACTGTCGTAAATATTTCCATTGATTGCGAGAAGATTCTGCTCGAGCACGTTTAATCGTCAAAGTCGAGGCGTATAAACGCATGATTTATTAAACGATGAATGCCTGAAACGGCGGGGAAGCGAACTTCTAAAGTGGGATTCTCCTTTATCTTTGGAAATGAATTTTTGAATGAATCTCGAATCGTTTTTGAATCTCATTAATAGTTCCACGGTTTCCGTAATCTCGTTACCGCGAATTAGCGTCTTCGTTCCGGAGTTAAATGCTTGATAAAACTGCGAATAATAAGTACACGTGTCGCGTGGAGACGAAGCCAAAAACTCGGAAGTAGTCCGTTCACGACTGTCAGTGGAAAACGATTCGTCGCGAGGCTCTCGGGAAGAAAGTGGGCCGTGGTTCGAGCACGCTCGATCGAGCTGTCTTAATTACGTTGCAGCTCGCGCCACGACCAGAACTCACTTAATTACTGAAATGCTGACAGTGCATCGGATAGTCGCCCGCCGTGGACACCTCTGTCGTCTCTTCGATCCAACTTTTCTATTATTCTCGAACGAGAAAGTCTCGTCGCGATGAATACGGGGTAGGTCGTTTAAGGGAGGATAATGCAATAACGGTTTGAAAGGTTCGTATACATTTAGAATGTTAAATTTAATCTTCAGAAAATGAAATTTAAACTCTTAATTAATGTTGCAATGGACTATGTACCCGACAAACAGTTTCCTGGTTGTTTATTCAGATCCAGTTGGAAAGTAGTCAAAGAGTGCATATTTATTTCTTCAATAAGATTGATTTTAAAAACATTCATTTACATTGGCTGGAGGATTTATTTTACTTGAATGCAACTGGGTAGATATTCAAAGTACTGCTTGATGAATTCGTACCTTCAGAAAACATGTGCTTGCTTTCAATCCATCCGATTGGATCTGTATGATATGAAAGGGGAATTAAATATTTCGAAAATATGAATGGTATAGGGGACTTCTTAGCCAATGAATTGCAATAAATATCCAGAGTGCTCAAATTTCATTTCAAACACGGTTATTTCCGCTGAAAGATTCTTTTTATATTGGTCTTCCGTCGTGGACTGCACAGAATCGCGGTCGTTTCGATTGCTTTGAGAAATGTATTATTTGACATTGATGGTATATCGATCCGATACAACGGAAACTGAAAGACGATTTCTGTTTTAAAACGAATTAAGCGCTTGATAGAATCTTCTGTGTAGCGAACCTCACGAGTGCGACACAAACGTGTTAAGATTAATTGCAACGTTTCTGTCGACTTCGTCGATGCAAATGTGAAGTATTGTTCGAACTAGACGTTTAACGCCAAGCCCTAATTAGATGTCGCGCAGCGATAAAATCGTTCATGCCTAAACAATCGACTAACACGACAGAAACTAACAAAGCATATTCTACGGTCGCGTTCAAATAGACAACGCGTGTTTCATATTTTGAAATTGAAAACTGTCTGTTTTCTGTCCAACCCCACGTACGATGTTTGCAACAAAATATAATTTCGCGCAGTTATTGATTTCTGAAGTACAAAACAGAATAAATGGACTGAATAATATGAAAGTATATCCTTTAGATCCCGTTTGTCCTTTATTATTAAAATTACTTGCTATTGTTATCAAGTTTGCAATTTCATTTATTATGATTAATGTCGCAGTAGCATTAATTTGCTGTTTGCAAAATTCTGTACGAATTGGAAGTAATTATCTAAGTATTAAAAATATCGAATGACGAATTCGTAGCTTAACGGAACACGCGATGGCATTTAATCCGTTCATACGACCGAATTTATACGTTGCTCAACAAAAGATAATTGAATATTTCTCTCAAAAATATGAACGCGAATGCAAACTTCTAATAAATGCGTGGAATGTTCAGACATAATTTCAGTCATAATTAATACATCTATGCTTTTCACAGTTATTTCTCGTCGTTGGAAATTTCGATTTTCCCAGGCGCCTCGTTTTGTATTATACAAAGCGTAGCATGGAAGCTTGCGAATATGAGCTGGAAATTTGGACGACCCACGGTATTTTAAAATCCTGCACGATTTGAGTAAACGGTGCCAAGAAGAACGTCCAGTATAGGTTCTTTTCGCCTCTCCAAACTCCTAGCGATCCGTTCACGGAAACACCGAAAACCGTTTTCTGTTCCAACGAGCAAACCGAGTTTCCGTACGTTCCCCGTTGCCCGATAACCACGACTTCCGGTCTGGGCATACCTAAGAGTCACTTGAACTTTCCACCAACCTGGATAACTCCGGTTTTGTTGAGGATTGCGTGGCCAATCGGCTGGAAGCGTTCCATCTGCCGAAGAACTTCGGCAACCTTTGGTTCCTCGAGGTCCACCAGACGGAACGCAGTCATGTTCACGCTGTTGTACTTAAAGTCCTCGAGATCGAACGTTTCGATGTCCTGAAAGCAGAATTTTTCCATTCAGAATGCATACAGAAATGGAATATTTTAAAGTATTGATAAACTCTAAGTTGACGAGACGAATTACTTTTTAGGAATATCGATTTACGGTAAACTTTCAATTATCCGGAATACTCGGGACTGGTGCAAAGCCGGAAAATCAAATATGCCAGATAATTGGATTATATCTATATACCAAGTGATAAAAACGAGGAATATAATCACAGATCTCTGGCCACACATTATATTTGTGATAAAGAATTTTTTTCTCAATAGTGCACAAGATTTCGGAGGTATGCGTATTCACCAAAAATGATTGTAATTGACTCCTGCAACCGAAAATAATTTTTTTAGAGCGATTTGAAATTTTTTTTTCGCTGAAAAATTTCGTCACATACACGAATTTTTTTCTCGAAAGTGCGTAAAATTTCGAGGGTATGCCTATTCACCAAAAATGTTTGAAACTGATATCCGCAGCCGAAAATAATTTTTCCAGAACGATTTGAAATTATTTTTTTTCGGCGAAAAATTTCAGGGGAATTGGTCAAACATTGGTCAGACGTATTTTCGGTAAGGAATTTTTTCTCGAAAGAGCGTAGAATTTCGAGGGTATGTCTATCGACCAAAAATGATTGTAATTCACCCCTGCAACTAAAAATAATTTTTTTAGGATGATCTCAAATTTTTTAATTTCGCCAAAATTTTCAGCACCTACTCGAATTTTTTTCTCGAAAGTGGGTAGAATTTCGGGGGTATGTCTATTGACCAAAAATGATTCTAATTCACCCCTGCAACTAAAAATAATTTTTTTAGAATGCTTTGAAATTTTTTAATTTCGCCGAAAAATTTCTCCATCTATTTCCTATATCCTTATTTATTTATAGTATTGTAGAATTAGAGACTATAATTTTTAACTCGATATTTAGGTCGTATCAATTATAATGAACGCATCTGATGGTACATTAATTATTATGTGTTTATAGGTTTAAGTTTTAATGCACTATTGTTTAAATACTAAATGGGATCGCATCCATTCGAAAATGTTGAATTGATAATCACGTTACTACTGTGAGTGGCTAATTAATTAACGCGAATTGTACTTTTCTGTGCGAACGTGCAAAGGAACAAAATACTAGTTACGTTATTATTGTTTTCAGTTCGTTCAGTATTCCGTGGTTCTAGAATTGGTGTCGCTGTTAGATTTCTACACGGGCGATCCTTTGAGAACGCTTTAGACGACTAATATTTAGCGAGTTTAAATATTAAATGAATGGAAATCGCGCTCAGCCAGGACTCCGTTTCAATTTCAGGCAAAATGTACCACTCTGTTCGTTGTAACGTTACGAATCGCACGATATATCGCGTATTAATGACTTAACGTTTCGGAACGTATAATATTTCTACGTCAATAAAACGTTACTAAAATTGCTATCCTCAATTTATTTTATTTCGTCACAAATGGGGCATTACATAGCTTCGTCGATCCTTCCACGCGAATTCGCAGTAAATTCATGCGAAATATTCGCTAATTAAATCCTGTATTACAGTTTCTGAAATTGGGCGAAAATGCGACGCAGGATTACGATAAAAATTTTGAGAAAAAAATGATTCTATTAAAAAATGAAATACAGTTATTCACGGAAGTTTATTCATACACATTTACCGTAGCGTTATGGGATTGTTTATTTTTACAACGTAAAAGGTTCATTTTTAATAGAATATTTTTGTTTGCACTTGCAATGACAATAATATATTTGGGAACAAACACGCTTTCGAATTCAATATTTTCGTTTTATACTAACGGTAAATTAATTTTGAATTTTAATACTGATGAGATTTTAATTTATGTAAAAGTAATGAAAGTAATATAATGTAGATCCAATATCAGAACAGTAGGGATGAAAGGAAAATATTGATGAACGAAAAATTTGAAAATACATCAATAGGAGGATTTCAGCTAAACACATATTAAAATTATGCAAAGTATAAGCAATGGCTGCGTGTGTCGGACGATAGGTATAAAATACAGAATACTAAATTATGAGAATTATTGCAGGAACTGATCGATACAACGTTCAAAAATTAATCCTTCGTTATCCACTGAATTATTTTCAGCTTGCATCAGTCATTCTGTTATTATAACAATAATTACGGACTCTTTTTGAACATTATTCGTTAAAATTGATGCATTATATCAGATTCGGTGAGATTTTTCGATGGAATGTCAGGAATCCATTATATGATTTTCATCCTTTCAATCTGTCACTATATTATATAATAAAACAGACGTGTATTAAAGAAGAAACTAATATTCACTGTATCTAGGTGCGAGTACGAATGACGAATGGTACAGAAGAAAGAAATTCGACGACAAATGGCTCCCTACTAATGAGTGCTGATATAAATGAGCGCATATGTTTCGCGTGGCCCCCGGTTACATGCAAGCGTAAGGGGTTAACAACCCTGCGATATTTTATGCACATTTGGCTGACACTGTACTTTGTGTTTGTCGATGCTTTCTTATAAACGAGCTTAATAAACAGGAAACAAACCTGAGTACGAACTCATCGAACTATTGAATACTCAGAGGAAAGTATCAGGTAAAAAATGAAAGAATGAATATGGGTACTCCAATGCAACGGAATTCTGTTTGGCAATTTTTTGATGATTTGGGTGTCTCATTTAAGAATTCTGAAGTAAACAGTTTGCATGGGTCCAGATAGACCCAGCGTTCGATGGACGAATTTAAGAGTTTGAGAATTTAATTCTCTCAGCCCGTTTTATTTGCCTTGGGGAGCAAAGAAGATTTTCTAAATTGAAGAAAAACGATCGCGTTATTGCCGCCGGCGCAATTACCGTCTGGCCGACGTAGTCCGTTCCCCCTCGACCCCGGGCAGCCAAGCCTCTTCGAGACGAAGTCGTCGAGTCAGATATGATTTATAATAATTGCAGGTTGATGCATCGCCCGGCTGGGATCGTTAAAGTAAATAATGTGGATTTCAACGGGGTCGTCGGCTACGTGGCTAAGTCGCCGCGGCAGATAAAGCTAGCTTCCGTTTCGAAGGAACTGCCCCCTCCTCTGCACCCCTTTTATATCGCTCCACTCTTTTCGGGGGTCCCTTTTCCGGTCCCGAGCGTGTTACTTCCCTCTCGAATTGCGATATCACCGAGCGAACCTGTCGCGGCAGGAAGTGGCGCCGCGTCCCGCTGGAAGTGATTTATTCCGTGTCGCGCGGTTATGTTTATGCAACATGCGCCGAAATCGGCCACCGGGGCTCCCGCGAACGTGACGAAAATTGCAGTTCCATTTTTTCCTGTATATTTCTTACTTTCGTCTCTCTTCGAGGGCGATAGAACAGCAGATTTTTCTTCGCATTAAGAACGTGGGTCACCGAAGAGAACGTTTCAATAAATTTTATTAATAATATTTACGAAACGACTATGTTCTCCGTTGTAAAATACGCTTTAATAATTTTTGCTCGAATAACCGGTTTTAGTAAACTCAGCTTCTCTCGAATGTACCCGTTTCGCCATTCTAACCAATTCAGGGTTCAATCATAAGGTCACCACTATTTGTCGAGGTTTTACCATTCCTTCTTTCCATAAATCGCGGTGGTAGCAAGTAATGTCATCTGAGCCGTTCAAATTGAAATCCTTTTCATCGGCAAATAGAACTCGTTTCCATTTAACATTACAATTCGCTCGTTGTAAAAATTATAAACGTTTTCCTTTGTACTGCTTCGTTGGGCGTTTCATCTTCGATCTTTTGCAATTTTTACATTTCTGACAAACCTGATCGTTGAATTGGTTTCCCCAGAGTGCCATTCTAAATTCTCTTGCCAATCTTTACAATTTTAAAAAGCTATACGAGCTGAGACTTTTCAATTTCAGTAATTTTCCTATTTTCTACAATTGAAAAACCTTCATTTTCCCTATTCGTCCTGTGAAATTGACGATTCGAGTACTTCGTGAGAAGCTAACAATGAAGTACGATGATATTTGACCGCGGTTTATTCCCGTCAATATTTACCCCATAATAATTACGATTGCGCGAGCGTTTCAGTATCGTAATTATCTGCAGTGCCTTTAATATTATATCACGCTGGTTTCATGGTAATTTAATTATAGAACGTGCAATTGGACTAGCAAGTTAGCTGCATGAAAGAATTGCAACCCAACGCACACAATTAATTAATTCCCCATTAATGCGTTTACTATTGAAGCTAATGCGTCGATCGATTATTATTTTATTATCGCTGATTGGCAATGCGTTCGTCGCTTCCTAACCCTCATTGTTCGAAATGGAAATTTGATTTCTTGCGAATTAGTTTGTTTCTACAACATTTAACGCGAAAGTTCATCCAAGACGCAACTTGCTGAACAAATGATTTTCAAGTTAATTGGTATGCCGGCCCTGGACCCAAGAAACGCGATCGCGCGATTTGCTGCGTTAATTATGTTTCCAAAATCTCCGGGTTCACGAACGCTGCACGCGATATAGCTGCAGCGACGCGAAATTATCATCGACGGGACTGTTCGTCGGAAAGTTTCGCCTGATGCCGCGTTGGAAATTTGTTGGAATTATTCTATTTCGCGAAATCGTTGTCGCTGCACTGTTTCGTGGTCTGACGATACGACGAGAGTTTCTACTTTAATCTAACCATTCTATATATATTTTGATTCAAAGGGTACACAGACAATAGGACTCCGAAGCTGTTTCAGAGTTAGTAAAGCAGTTTGTAAAGGTATTGTTGTTTAACAGCTTTGTGCGTAATATTTCTTGAACATTATATTCCATTTACGCGAGGCGGTTCAACCTTTTCTTTAATCTACTGTTTTACACATGTGAATGGAACAAAGCACTTCCAATATGAATTAATTTCCGTGGTCAAATTACATTTGTACGATCGTAAAAAGCATTCAACGGAGCGTGAATCCGTGGCCAAAAGAGCAACGACAGAGTAGGCGTTTCGTCACTGGTATTGTCACTTATCGTTCTTGTAAAAAAAATGTTATCACGATAAATTCCGTGTAATCGCGCGAGCTTCGAGGTCTGCGACGATTATTTACGCGTCTGTGCTGCAACGGATGACTCCACCGCCGGATTTGCGAGCGAACGTTCCATTTATCAGACCGGGAGCTCCGAGCATCGAGAGCAGAAATTGAAAATTGCAACAGAGTCAAAAGGCAGACGCAGTCAAAGCGCGATAGGCTGATACGAGTAGCCAACTTTCACGGACCGTATTAAAGCGAGGTTCATTAGACCGGCCAGTCCCATGAGTGCTAATTTACATCGCTGCCGTCTGTGCCAGCGGACCCGCGACAGGGAAGAGAGTCGTTCGTGGCTGGACGTATACTTACGAACGTGGTGAACATGTAGTGGTATCTGTAATCGTTCATCTGCAGCTGGAGTATCTGCAACAGAGGAAAAGGGATTAGTTAGCCGTGCAACTAACCTCGTTTCCGACGCATAATTTATATTACAGGATCCCCGATTTTAATCTACGATTTATCCACCGAGAGCGGAAAAATTTCCACAAACGCTTTCGATTTTCGTATCGACGCGAACTTCGGGAACCCGGACGAGTATCCTGGAGAGAGGCAGAGTCAATGTGCGGAGAACGAGGAGGACAGAGAGTCGGAACGCACAAAGAGATGGATCGTGGAAGGGCGGGATTGCACGAAAGTCAGGGCGTTTTTTGATTACCCGAGCAAAGAAGGGATATCCGCAGAAATCCCCGGGAGATGCTGCATGCAAATAACGGGGTTCCCGTCGACCACGTTCTGAACCAAGATTGCTTCTCGCCAGGGGGTAAGAGGGCAAAAGGCTCTGAATTCGACCCGAAACGTCTTCGTCTACCCATCGACTTCCCGTAATAAAGAGCGGCGGAGTTGCAATTAAAAGTAAAAAAAATTTCGTTTCGCCCCTCGACGAAAGGGCACCGCGATTCAAAACCGGATATGAAACGGTCCAGGATCGTTTTATTCAACCGTTCGTATCGAACTCGATCTCTATCCTTTGGATTTCTACGTAGATGCTGGCGTTGCTGCAAGAAAGTTCGTTTAAAGGAATAATCCTTCGGTTTAATATTCCATCGACGGAGTGTGTTTGTACGATGAAAATTACATTTTTCTCCGCGGGAATAAATTCGCTGACAAGTCTGTCGTGAAATTGATGTCAAAAAATACCGTGAAAATTGAATCGCTTTGGCGTTAATTCTCCAGCTATCGATCGCGACCAGCGTGATGCAAACCGAAATGCGGTTTGTTTTTTCAAACTAGGCTCTCTTTTTAGAAAAGTTCGTGAAAGTTGTGGGTTTGATATAAATTTAAGAATAACTCAGAATGCTGATTTTATGCGTATGTTCGGAGGGGAAATAACAAGAAGAAACCAGAGGATTTAGTGGAGTGAAAAACAAGAGTGGACAGAAGGGATTTGGCACGCATGAGTTAAGGAGCATTATACAAAAACGTGTTTTCATTTCATCGATAAAAAAGTTACTAATCGTTTGGAGATTAAAAGAGTATCATCTGCGTTTCGAGATAATTAATGTTAATGTTAAAGTTATTGTAATTTTATACCTTTGCACAGATGTCGTAAATACCAATCATGGATTCGTGAATTTTCTCCATTCGCGCGAATAAACGAAGAGCATTTTCGACCAGTGTCAATGAAACCGGAGAAACATCGGACCGATGGACGCGTCGACGAACACCGGTTCATGTCAGCGTGCAATTCTCGTTGCGATGGTTCGTCGGATTATGCAAATTTTTCTGCGCGTCGAACATGCGCGGAATCGTGAATAAGAGGCTCGAAAACGACGGGAAAACACCGTCTCCTTGAATGCGGATTAACGAACGAACGCTTGACGTGGTATATTACTTTCGACCCTTTTTTTAATAGCGAAGAAAAATAAATCAAGCTTTCTTAAAAAATAACGCTACACAAGTTAAGCATTAATATTGATAAGTTAATACGATTTTCGTATTAAGAGTTTCTCGTGTTTTCGGTTCTACAAAAGAATTTCGATAGCTTTCTCTCGAACGGATTGAAACGATTTCGCGTTATAGTAACCGATAGATCGAATTCCAGTTGGAACAGTCGTATTCGCTTTTGGAACGAACGAACGCGACGCTGAAACACGTGGCGAATCGTATTCCATCGTCGACAATTTCGGTTTGGGGGATATTGATTTGTACTTGAATAAAAATAGACAGTCGTGTTTCCGTTTGCAGTGTTTGTTCGTTTAATATTTTACGAATGCGCGCCGACCACGTGTGTGCTGTTCGATGTGTAAATTTCATTTCAATGTTTTCTTTGCTTATCTGTAATTCTGCTCCTGTCTCTGATCAAAGAAACGTTGGCTCATCTGATGGTGAACGAATAGTATTTCTCTTTCAAAAATTCTAATTACTACGGTGCCGGTCAAAGTGAGCTTTTTAAACAGAGTTAATTCGGAGTATTCGTAGAACCGAGTGGAGAAAATTCACACAATTCCTATTCGAACATTTTGTTACAAATTACAGCGTTTTTGAGAACGAATCCAAAGCTGGAACCGAAACGTTAAACTCGTGTTTGCATTTAGGACTTGTCCGTCATTTTATTCCCCTTTGTGAGGGATCTCTATTATTCGAGCCCCGAAACGGACAGAATGGGAACTGGAGAACCGTTTTTAGATTCCAGTGTATTTAACAAAAGTACAATAGTAGCCGCGAAAGAATTGCGCGAATTAAATCTCGAACAGTGCCGCCGGGAGAAGGAACTCTCCACGATTGGACGGAACAATACGCTTATGAGTCTTCAACGAGTGCCTCGTACAAGTCTGTACACCGAGCTTGCGCGGGAATACCGGCCTTTTACAGTAAGTAAACGGCACCACGGAGAAAAGGGAGAATTCTCTCGCGTTGACTTGCATTAATGTATTTGCTTAAAAATTGAAAATCCCCCCGCGAATGTCGCGGGTCTCGACCCCGCGCAAAAATTCCATCGACTGCGAAACGACCGAATAACGCTCCGGGGAAAAAGCTTCAAACGGAACGACAACGCTATCGCGATGCAACCGCGCGTTCAAAGTTAAAATTCAACTTACGCGGGGCGAAGAAAAAGGGCGACGGAACAACCGACTGACGGATGCGCGCTGAACAAAACACGGTAAATAAAATTCACGAGCAACGAATTGCCCTTTGGAAACGCCGCGCGTCGTCCAATTCCTCGGTTCAGCGTTTCGCGTTTTAAGGATTTATTTCCGGAAAAAATGAACGAGATGCACCGTGACTTTTCCTCGTAAGAAGAATGTGAGTAACGCATAATCGTAATTTGTTTCACCTTCGTTGGTGCTTTCTTCCAGGGGAATGAAATTTGTTTCTTCTTCGTCCAGGAAGCGAACGACTCGACTTGGGGAACTTCCTGCCAGTATCGAGAATTCTCCCATTTCCTGTTGCCTCGCCTGGCAGATTAGAGCACAATCGGGGATTCTATGGGGTTGTTTTCCTTTAGCCAAGTTGATTCTTTCACTTTCTGGACAACAACCCCTCGCAGTCTCTGTTTCATTAATATCTTCAGACTTCTATTTATAACTCTAAACTGCTTATACTTGTCAAGGAACTCCCTTGGAGCACTAATTTTTTTTTTATATTTATAAGGTAAATCGACGTTTGTCAATCGGTCCCTCCGGTATCGAAGACTTTGGAGATTAAATACCGAGCTAGCAAGTATTATGGGTCTTCGGTACTGTGTCTATCCCCATGCTATACATATTTTACTTGCGGCGTCGATCGATAGCGTCCTCTTTTTCCGGTCCCACGAATAAGGACGTAAGCTTCTATGGGTTCCTACGATGCGAGAGATCTCCAGCGAGCTCCTTGTTCCTGGAGATCTCCGCCGAGCTCCTTGTTGCAGGGCGTAACGGTATAATATTTTAGCTGACGTTACAGACGCGGGTCGGCCCCGAGCTACGATAAAGGAACTATCCGGCTCAAGAATTCGAGACTGCAAATTATTCTCGCTTGTACGACGAGACTCCAAAGTGGAGATTTACCGTCAGCAAACAAAGCTGATTTCGCGTAAAGAACAACCGGGTCGATGAATGCTCGTCGACGGGTTTTCGTAGTCGTTTTGTCATCGTTTTTGGCAAATAAAATAGGTTGATTTCGACATATTATTTTTGTACGTAAAAATAATAAATATTGCACGAATGGAATGAAATTTTTCTCGTGGGTCAAAATGACTCGTTCGACCATCGTATCGCTGGCAAACTATTTGCCTTCCGAGGGTTAATTGCAACGGGGTCTGTTTCGGACTGTTTTCAGCTGGAAATATTGGAACAAGAGGATCGAGGAAGAGGAAAATTTCAGTGCTTCTGTCTGTGACGGTAGAAAATCGATGTTAATTTGTATTCCCGTCCGCGCGGAAATTACGAAACGATGGCGTTTATTTTAGACTTTGATTCGCCATCGAATTTTTCATTCTCTTTTGACACGCTCTCCCAGCCAGAAATACTCCCCTGTAATTTGCTGCGATTTTAACGAATACTCCGATTTGAGAATACTTTGTCGAGATATTCTTGGTTAATTGTTCGCGAAACGCTGCTATCTCGGAACGTTCTTAACGTTGAAAACACGCAGGAAATTTTCAAACGTAGACGTTAGTATATTCGAGAATTAATTCCGCCGGTAGATCCCGCAATCCTCAGGATATCGTTCTCCAATTAAAGTATGCAAATTCGTAACCACCGCCGCGAAAAAGGATTCTAGTTTCCATTAACAACTTACGGCTCGAAAAAATTGTTGCATGTGCGCAGGATCCGTGTCGACGATCAGCTTGTAGATCTCTTTGTGTCTGACTTCTCGGAGGACCTGTCTGTAGGATCCAGGACCTGCCTGGCGAATGTACATCTCCGTTCTCGCGGATGGCGGCGATTTCACGAGGTCCTGTAGCTTGAACAATCCTGGAAACAGAGGAACGGAGGAAATATACTCGACTTTCCATTTAGAAGATTTCTCGTTAAGTTCATTCTCGTGTTAGCCAGACCAGGTTGCCAAGACTATTTATGTATATCGAGACGTCGGATCAGATAAAACGTGAAATATTTGAGCGGTCTCGTAAAATAGTTACAGTTCGCAGAACCCTCCTCGAAGCTTTCTATTTGCTCTACGGAGCTAAGAAAATATTGAATTCTCTATTTATCTCGGCGTCGATGGAAATGTTTCAGCGAAACTCGGACGAGCAGCGTGCAATTTCGCGAGTAGCTTCGGAAAGATGGGTAATTTATTGGCGCGTCGATGAAGAAAGCTGCTGATAATATGAAAAGGAGCATCGAGAGAGCGATAGAATCGCGGAACAAATGGTTCCCGCGGAATAATTCGGACAAGCTATTTCCGTTAAAACCGTGAAATTGAAAGATAACAGACCGCTTCTTAGAGGTTTCCAATTATCGCGCCCCATACTTCCGCGAACGTGCACGTATATCAAGCCGGTTTAGCGCTGCAGTACACATATATTTAGAACAACAGGGGTAAGCTGGTAACGGGGACGGAGGAATAGTGATACCAATACTTCGAGGGGAAAGTCTGCCTCGCGGAGCTACCATCCGGCGTAAGGGATGGTTCTTGAGGTTGGAGATTTATGACGGTCTTGCACGCTACAAAAAGTACGTAAGATTCAGAAAGAATCCGTAAAAGATACATTCGCGTCCAGAGGGGCAACATTTCATTCGAATAATAGCCGACTCATAAAACCAACCAATGATTTACACGCGACGTGTTTCAATAAATGATTAAACTTTTGTTCCGTCGTTACGAAATATTTAATTCGATGAAACGAAAAGCACAAATATTTTTCTGATCCACAAATAATATATATCGCTGGAATAAATGTAATACTAATAAAAGTAATAAACTAATAAAACCAACCAGTGATTTACACGCGACGTGTTTCAATAAATGATTAAACTTTTGTTCCGTCGTTACGAAATATTTAATTCGATGAAACAGAAAGCACAAATATATTTCTGCTCCACAAATAATATATACAGCCGGAATAAATGTTTCAGAGACCATGCAAATTTTAAAAAGTGAAAAAGTTCGAGATTTTAATATCAGATTGCGGAATACGTTTGCTACGCTTCGACTTTTCTTACTGTTTAAAGTGCAAGTAGAATCTGGCAAAATTGCTGAAACTTCAAAAATCTACGTATTATTTTGTAGATTTGTTTGAAGATATTTCAGCCCGTCGAAGCGAGGATGGCCCTTTATTGCGGCGGAGCGAAGTTTAATTCACGACGGAGTTTCGTTCGCGTCAAAGACCGAGGTCAGCCTGTTTAAAGGCCGAGAATAGCCCTGAGCGGGTAATTAACGTCGAAGAATAATTGGCAGGGACGGCAGCGCGAGGCATCGTGTGCACGGGGTGTGTTCACTCGCCTGATTTACATACATACGCGAGTTTGTACCCCCAAACGTCGCGTCGTTCCGAGTAACAAACGTTGAAACGACGTGACGTCCCAGTGAAACATTAATGCGGGTCTGGTACGCATCCTTCCAGCGCGAAAGAGTTATGTTTTGTAGTCGTATTCGTTCCCGTTGCTTCGGGCGACAAGAAAAATTAGACAGAACTCCGAAAGCTGGGTCAAAATGTCGGCTCTGATGCTCCACGAATTATCAGAATCTCGTATTTTCTAGACAACATTTCACTTTGTTTTAAATTTAATTTATTATTAAAAAATTGCGATCTTAATGAAATTTCGAACAAAATTCCGTTCACGATTTTATATTTCTACAATGGTAATGTTACCTTTCCAGAACTCGAAATAATTTTACAGTTCTGCAATTTAAATTTGATTTTCTTTTTTACGGGGTTAGAGTGGATGGTTCGAAGTTGTAACAACTTGGGGAAAAAGTTGATCCATATTACGGGCGATCAGGATGTTCGGGAGCTTTATCAGATTCCGAGACGAGAAATGGTCGCGTATTTCCGACGAATGTTTTCTTGGGACGGAACGACGGAAATGCTCGATGACGTGCTCCGTCGCGAAAGAATTTTCGAAACGTCCCTGTTCCGCGATGGCTTGGAATTTATGACTGGCGTGGACATTAAAGCGACGTAAAAAAGGGGGATTCTTTTCGTCGCTGCAAAAAACGCGTGGCGTCGTATATCCGTCGCGATCGCGACGTCTAATCAGGGAAAATAAATTCAACGAAGGATCGATCTCTTTCCAGACGATCAACCGTTTCGTAACGCTGGACCAATTGCAATTACTCACAACGTAGATTTTACACAAAATAAAAGAAAAAAGAAAAATCTATTTCGATTCAAATTCACATCGCGTCGCTGGTATCTTGATTTCGACGTTTAACGTCTGCAAAACTGTCGGCGCAGCGACGCTGTAATTCAACGTCGAGTTCTCGGTGACACGGGTGAACTGGGCGGTTTTTTGAAAAATAAAAAAAATCAGCGACTTCGGTGTCGAATCCTTCGCGACCGTACGCGGAACAGCTCAGTTACGTCTGCGTGCGAATGACAGGCCGACATTTCGCGCCGTGGCGGCATCCACTTCCGCCTGCTGATTTCGACGTTCTATTTGCATAGGGACGCATCACTGAGCCGAACCGACGCGGAGAGTACACCGTGAAAAATAAAAAAAAAAAGTACGGGTATGACACGTTACACCATCCGAGTGCGGTGTTCCGTGATTACTTGGAGAGCGACGCTCGTATAGTTGCAAATCTGACCGCGCCTGGAAGGTTTATCGCTCGGTCGACCTGGCGAATTTTTCACCCTGGCGCGCGAACCCCTTACGAGCACACGCGAAAACTACGAACGAAAATAATCACCGTCGTTCGTTTTCGTCGCTTTGTTTCGTCGAACGTTTGTTCCAACTAAGAACGGGAGGACGATGAAATATCACCGAACATGTATCAATCTACGGTTTTATGAGTACGCTTCCGGTAATGCGCAAAGTGAATTATGTAGCAAATCCATTAACCAACGCTGTAATGCTCCACGTTGGCTGTCTAACGTGTAAAGTTTTGACATTCGGAACTCCTAACTCAGAACTAACCAAGATCTGTTTCCCCCGGAGTACTCGAGCTCACAAATACACGCGGGTCACTCGAATACGTTTAGCGTTGTTTCATACGAGATTCTCATTTAATCTGATTGTTATTCTCAGTGGCAAGATAATTGATTGTTTATATAGGTGTTACTTCTGAGTGTATGAATTAAAAATGGTAAATATATTTTCTCCGCTCACCGTAGTCCTCCTCGTAGATGATCGCGACTCTGGTCCAGTTTAGAAAGGACATAAGATCCTTGAAAGCCTTGTTCAAGTGGTCTTGCGAGGGATAGAGGTTTATGCTAAACTCTTTGAACGTTGGCTCGAAGTCGACTCTCGCTTCCAGATGCGGGACGTCCAAAGCCTCGCATATGCTCTGTATGTGGGCGCCCAATAGAGGATCCGATGGCCCGAAGATCCCCTGGACCGATCTCGATAGCTGTTTGCAAGCTGCAAAACGAAGCACCGATTCGATCAGTCGTAAACTCGTGCATGACAAATTCAATATTCATGAATTTCAAGAAATTGATACTTCAAGAAATTCCAGATACGATTATAAATAGGGTCAGTTGCCCTAATATTGAATACGTTCTTAATTTGGAACAACGCAATATTAAAGAATCGTAATATAATGCTCGCAATACATTTCACTATCGTTAATCGTTAAGTTAAAAGAGCAAAAAATTTCCTATAAATTCATGATATTTTAATTTTTATAAAAGTTCTACAAGCAAGTCAAACATGTGGGGCAACTGACCCTATATTTAACTATGTTTTTGATTATTTTGCATCACGTAAAGTGATAACTTTTGAAAAATTTGTTTCTTGAATCACTGTATTACTAAAAACATCCTCATATAAAAATCATCAATCTCTAATATAATCGTAAGATATATAAAAAGGACGAACACCAAACACGAAAGAACCAATTTCCTCCAATTTTCATAATACTATGAAGCCTGTTCTATTTTGAAGTATTACTTTCGCAGATCACGTGGAACGAGGAATTCGGAAACCACAGACAGGAAAGGGGGTAGAAACGCTCAAAAAGAAGCAGCTCTACAGTGCGAGGACGGAGATACGCGGATGACTGGCTCCGACGCGGCGATTTCATATTTCAAGATGAGACGCGCTCGCGTGTCTCGTATCAACCTAAACCCCCCGACAGAAATTTTCACGGGAAATTTCGTGCCTTCCACGTCCTCTTTGCACTGTTTTCTCGCGGCTCTCGTCGCACACGACGAGCTAGAGATCGATGCGGAACGTTTTAGTCCCTATCGGCAATTTTCAAGTTCGAGGTCAGGTCGACGTTGGAAAAATAGACGGGAAATTGATACGTTCGACTTACTGATCCATTATCCTTTCAGCTGCACGCCTTCGACCTCAGACACGGTTCTCCCTTTCGGTAACGATTCCTGACACGCGTGTAGAAGCCCACCGGGAACGAGAATGGATGAGTTCGATTTCGGCACTGGGATTTCAGGGTGTCTAAGTATCCTCTACTTTGTCCGCGCGCGTTTTGAATTATTCAGGAGACTTTTTTACGCTCTGAGAACAACGACGATCCTGACTCATCGTTCTTGCATTCGGTAGACTGCTTTTTTTAAAAAAAGAATTGTGCTTCGAATAATCGAGGATTTATTAAATTCATATTCTTCTTTGTTTCGACAATTTAGTTTAATCGTTGAATTCTAATTCTACTGTTTCTTGTTATTTATTATTTCGTTAGTACGTGTCTGGAGAATAATTTATCATCCAACAAACTAGAATTCTGTCTTAATTACGAAGAAACTTGATATGTATTGCATTTTTAAAAAACATTTTCCCTTTCGGTGTAACGTTTCTTCAGAATGTAGAAACATAATACCGAAGGAACACAAAACCTTGCACAAAACACAGGAATGTAGATTAAAGATGAACGAACAAAATTTTACTTTTTATTTTATTTTTCTGTGGTCTTTGGATGTGAAAACAGTTTTGGGAAAAGAGCAACCCGTGCCAGGAAAATAATTAATTTCAACGTTCTACAGAAGATTAAGAATATTCTATTAGTAACAATTTGTATCTGGGACTAGTTCTTTTCTTTTCTCAGTTTTCATAAATTTACATTTCGCTTTAGACAGACCTCTCCAAAGGATGATAATAGATCCATTGAGAATACGAGATTTTTGTACTTTTGTAAAAACACCCTTAGTCACCACTTAGGGCACTGTGTGTAATAAGTTATGCACGACGTTGTTCTATGTGAAATCTTTTGAAGTTGTTCGCGCACTGTGCAAAAGTTTCGCAATGGCATTAAGCTTAATAGGAATTTTATAATTAATAGCGTAAAGTACCACGTTCTCATAAATTGTACGTCTCCCATAAAAATATTCTATGTCACGCAACCGGTGGTTTTCATTCTGTGAAAAGAAGTTAAAGAAACAACGTTGGTGCTTCAACGAGAATACGTACACTTATAACGTTGAAATTAAATATTGTTTGTAGAATAAAAAATTCAATACTTTTCCAAGTAATGCGATAGTTATCTCGAGAAATTTAAAACAAAATTACGCGCAAAAATTGTATTCTTGTATCATAATGAAATTTCTTTTCCTATTTCATAATCTTATCTGTCAAACGTACTATTGAATATATTATTACATTTCGAATTTCTTTTGTCGTTTTTTCGCGGTTACATTAAATACAGACGAAGTGACGTTAATGTGCCTGTGAAATCGAGCGAGGAGAAAATTGTGGAAAATATAATTCCCATGGAACAGCGAGCTTTCGATGTTCCTGCGGCTCACGTCACCGGAACAACGTGGTTTACGGAACAAATTTATGCCGCGTTTGTTCAGATTTATTCACCGTTAAACGTCGAATCCTGATCGTCATTTCGATGTGCCGTGCACGACGCAACAGCGAACCGATGAAAATTTTATTAACACACAAATTCGTTCGAAAACCACGTCTCGCGTAAACATTTTTATTTGCTGTAATAAAAATGGCCAAATAACAGAAATTACAATCATTGTTCTAAACTCCATCGACTGATAAAGCACAGTCGGGTACAGGAATTTGTTTTTATTGTGTATGTTTGGTTTACTCGAATGTACACGAATTCAGAGTAAACTGATGCATATTTGTTATTTCCATGTGGTTTATTGATAAACGCAGGAACATCAAATATTGCTTTTCTATAATATTATACAATAACGGTACTTTACAGGGAACATAAAATCAAATTATTTAATCGATACAGAATATATTTGCTTCGAGCAAGCCTATTTATTCGACGATTTTAGTCACTGTATAACAACTAGCAAAAGGTTCATATAAAAAAGTATATCAAGCAGACTGGAAGAACGAGATTCAATAAATACGGCTGTTTTAAAACGAAAGCTAAATATCTTACTCGGCCCAATTCTACGTCAAAGGAAAAGTCTCCTCATTCCCTGTAATCTTTAAATATTTATTAAAAGTATCATCGTCGACGACCGAACGTGCTCTCCCAAACACAGTTACTTAATAATAAGTCAGTCCCTGTTACTTTTGTTAATATTTACGGACTCTTACCAACTCCAATTCAAGTAGCTCCAAGTACGCTCGAACCGCCACAAGGAGCAAAAGCAAAGACACACAGAAACGAGGAAGTGAAACCATTTCTCAAATTTCATTGAGCAACTTCGGAGGCAGCTTCGATGCTTTCGCGCGGAACAATATAATGAATATTTTCGTTTATTGCCGGCGAAGTTTCCTCGCGATCGACGATGCGAGAGGTTTTGCAATATGGTAGAAAATGCCAAAATGGATATTCTCTATCCAGTTTCGTTCACTATAGAAATATCGAAATCAATTATTATTTTTGTTCGTTAAAAATCGTAACTCGACGACTCTGAAATAATGTTTGAATACCGATGTTCACGGGTTTGAACGTTAAACGTGGTCTTGATATTTGCGCGAACGATATTGTTCAATATTTTTCATTTCGTTTCGCGAATGGTTAGCAACGGGAGGCTATACGGTTTCCCGAGTGAATTTCGCGCTTCGCGGCCGTTAACTCAGCATTGTTACGCAATCCTTAGGTCTCTGTTCCGTATACAAATGGCGCCTGGAATGCCGTTATGCGACCCCCTACGGAAATTAGCGACGAAGCCATTTCTGGATGTCATCGTACGCGGTTCTCGTAACGACCGTTCGAACGATGGCTCGGTGCATCCGTTCTCTGCCCAGGGACACGCAGTTTGCGATGCAATTTATGGCCGAGTCTATTGATTCCGTCAATATTAACCAACAAAACCATCGTGCAACGCTCGATTCTAGGATTAACGTGACATCGATTAAAGCTCTTGAGTTTGTGTTTCCGGCCATTCAGAGATACTTTCTGTCTCATGGACCACGGTATAACGAGATCCTATTGCTCGAGCAGCTGTAATTTCCAGTACCATGCTGTTAATAAGCTCGATTCGAAGGATCGTTACGTACCAACGTATCTTGCAAAGTATGCGATGCAATGCAGGAGCTGCATCGATTCTCTACAGGACGATTCCAAAGGAACTGCATCATTTACTTTGGATCGAATTAAATCGAAGAAAAGGTCTTATTATTGGGGCAATTTCCTAATTTAGTCCTGTTATCGATCAATGTTGCGTTGGTATAGGAATTTATTTAGAATTTCCAGAAGAATAATTTAACGAGCCTTATTAAATTCAAAAAATTCTGAAATTCTGAATAGATAATATTTAAGTATTACTTTGTCGGTGTAATGTACATTTCGCGATGCAAGTTTTGCATCGGTCTGTATTCGATTCTCCTGTTCCAATGTTCCGCAGGCTCCGTTCGAGTCTCTAAGGTTTCTTCTTGCATGTTGTGCGCCGGTATGTTGAATGTTTGCGATTGACGGAGATGTTGGCGAGGATGAGGGAAGTGCTGATTGCAGACTTCTAGATTCCAGAGGCGGAAAATTCCTGCGGAGGGACGAGTTAGTTTGCCGGAGACGGGCGGAGAGGATCGGAAAGCCAACAACTCGATGGTGGTTGTCTTCGTGTACTGTTAGTAAAGACGTATGCTAGCGTCAGACGCTGACGTATAGTTTGGCTGCGCTTCTAACTTCTCTGTGGCACCGAGAGACAGCCTTCTGAGCAGCTCTCAGAACGAGTAGCTCTGCCTTTCTACACGGATCTTATCTCGGTTGCCTTCTCTCGTAATTAATACGATCGTTGCTCCGCAATAATATAGCAACTCGAACGTTCCTATACGGGACGATCGAATTCTTGATAATTACTGAGTGTTCAGAGGCAAGAGTTTTCCTGTTTCTGTGGATCAACTCAAGCAAAAAGTTCTTTCCCAGTGTTTTTCGCGATAACGTCGCGAAAGCATGGTCTTGATACGGACTTTTCTTCCCGGGTTGAGTTTACTGGAACTCGCAATTTTGTCAGCTACGTTATCTTTACTTTCGGTCTATTCTATTTACTAAACTGTTTCTGTATCATTCTTAACAACTACCTTGGGAGTACTTGAGACTACGTACATTCTTAAGACGACACTATCAGAATTCACAGCACAACCACTTTTTGAGAAGTCGGTAAATAAAGAAATTCATCCCCCGTGGTATGTTCCCACTTGAAAATTTACGACAAATACTAATTACGGAATTGTGTTAGAACGGTGCACATTGAAAGTACATTTTCGACGATATAATAGGGTAATGCATTAAACTCGAGTACCGTTCGAAACGCTACGATTGTAACGCGACGCCAAACGCGTGAACAGTTCGGTTTGTTCAGATAGACGGTGTCGTTGTTCCAGAAATAACGGTACCATTGGTCGAGAAATACGCAGCTATGAAAACCGCGCGACAGGGGGGAAATGAAGTGTCTTCGAGGCTCAATAATTTCGGCCACGTTTACGACGAAATAGATATTCGTAGGAGATAGAACTTTGTTGCAAATTTATCGACGACCGGACGGATTTACGGTTCGCAATTTACGCTCGTCGGCCATCTACAATCGAGCAAGAAACATCGTTACGGTTTTGCAGCGACCGACTCCGGCACTCGAACCGTGGTGCTGCATAAATTTCAGCTTATGCTCGCAGTTTCATCTCCGCCTTCGAATACACGTATCGAGTCGCCGCATTCCATTCCGCGCAAACTTGAATCTTCCGCGAGAAATTCGCTATACTGGAAACGAGTTCGTTCGTCGAAAACAATTCTAAACTTTAGCGAACCAACGTCAACGTTTCGTTTCTAAACACTAAGGAACGAAAATAGAGGTCCAAGCGAGGAAAGAAACGTCGAAACAGAGAGGCTCAAATTATTAAATTAAAATTTAATTGAAATTGTCCGTTTCCTTGCTCGAGTAATCGTTACTCGTCAGAAATACGCCGACGACGCCCGGAAAATGGAGGAATATTTTACACCGCGCCGGGAAATATTACTTTCTATTTTTGTCATAAATATTCCATAAAATTCGGAGTGGCTGGAAACGCAGTCCCGCCCGGAGTCACGGCAATAACGTTGCATACCGGGGGCGGGGGGAAAAAAATCTCGACGAAGCGTTAAGTACCGAATCTAAGTCGTGCCGAGGATCCCCGTGAAGATAATTTCTCTTTGGACGGGACCGAGTAAAAACCTTCCATTCGTATTTTCATCGACGCTCCGTTCGCAGACGTCCGCGTTAACGCGACGATTTAATTCCGACGTTGATTCTCCTCCGTGAAAGATCCATTTTCCTTCCTCAATGAGTGCAAGAGCGTAAGAACGATCCCCTGGAAAGGATCGCTCGCGTTTAAAGGGAATGTGCTGTAATTCGTTCGTAGCGTGTCAAATGACTGACTGATGCCATATATCATCCACTCCTCGACAGATGTTCGATAAATCTTAAATTTCTCTGCGCGTGCATCACGACCATTCTCATCCTTCACACCTGGACTGTCACAGTGTATATTTCTGTTCTCAGAATTGCTGAAACAGTTTTATTTTCACTTCGAATTATTCTTCGAACGCTGTCTGGGAAATCACTCGCATAGGTGGAGACAGAAGTTCGCCGAAGACAAAGTTCAGAGCATTTTCCTAATTTATGCAGTGCCTGGAGGCCTCCCATAACTCATTTTGGGAACTCTATCACGAGAGCCGCGCCCGGAGCACTTAAGATTATAATATTTAATCGCGACGTCATTATAATCAGAATCGTAACCGTGTTGCGAAGGTTCGATAATGAGTTTCACGCGTGATTTTATTTATATGGAACGAGGAAAATCGTTTCCAAAATAAACGGACATTATTTGGGACTCGATACCAACGGTAGGAGCCGAAGTTCGAGGGCTCTTGGATTTTTTATGAGATAGAGAACTCGTGCCTTATCGGCGCCCGTGATGTTTTCGTGTCGAGACTTTCGCTCCAGATGTTTCGAGGCGTTAAATACGTTTCGCTCCCCGTGCAAGAGAGGACGAACCAAAGGGAAACCGGTTACCCTGTATATGGGTTATCTCGAGAAAGAAAAGAGAGTGTTCTTGGCGGAAGAAGATGTAATACAGGAAGAACTCGTGCAGCGAAGGCGCGTTGCAACTTTCTTTTTTTCGGTGGTTTTTGGCACGGTTTCGGCAACGATGTGGGTCAACCTGTTTCAGGGATCGTGAAGTTCCGTCGTGAAACACGACGGAGGAATCTTCCATCGAATTTAAATTAATTTATTTTTGCGAGACGTAGCTTTCATTCTTTTTAATATTATTAATGTGCAAAGTTATAAAAAGAATCTTAGAAAACGGCACGAATCTTAAGAACAACGATCGACAAAAGGGAAATATATTAAAAGAACGTCTTTCATCGTAAATTAAAATGTGCATTGAATGGAGCATCTTTGCATAATACAAAATCTTAATTATAAATCAATCTACAATGGAACTCTAGGTTGTTGATGTTATTTGTAACTCAGGAAGGGAATAGGATTAACGCAATATAGCGATAGAACTGAGTTCTTTCATGCATGTTTGTTCGTTTATCGAGGTATTATTAATAAAATGCTACTCACCTTTCTTCGACGTCCTGAACGAATCGTCCTTAGGCACGTATTGGATATCGTATACCAACGTGGTGTTCGCCAGAAGAGTTCTATCCTTATTAATTTTGTAAATGGCATATTTGAACGCCAGCTCCGATGGACTATCTTTCTGATCCTCCGTGAAGATTGCACCTGGAAATACGAAAAATCGAAAAACAGGCTCTAAAATATAATTTAAACTTCGATATACATCGCGAACGTGGTTAAAAACTAGTCTAGTAACATAACCCAAGGATCTTAGACGTTAGAAGCGTTATCAACGCTATCGGGATACAAGTGTCTTCGGTATCAGTATCGTGTTCGTCTTACGAAGCTGCGACAAGAACATTCATGGAACGTTTATCGTATTACACGAGTTTCCTTCTTTGAAAATAATATAGCTTGACGTTGATACGCGACAGGTGCAGATGTCGAAAGTTTTCCCGACCGCAGCCTCGACCTACCGCTTTTAATTACATCGTATTATATTAATTAGACAGCTGACAACTTCCGCGAGTGTAATTACAGACCGTCGGCGATGTTCTCCATCGGTGAAACGCTTATAATCGAGTTTCCTCTTACGAGCTGGCTGCCTCGTTGGAGCATAACCGGAAAAACGTCGTCGAGCGAGCGTGAATGAAAGCGATCTCGAGTGATCTGTTCAATGCAACCCCCCCGGAGCCTCGCGGCGACTATAGTTAATTGAAACACGAAGTGAAAATTTCAAGGGGATCAACGATAATCAACGTACAAAGATTTCGAGAAAAGCAAGTCGAGGCTGAACGATGTTTAGTTTGTAAAGAATCGGATCGAGGTTAATTCAACGATTTCTTCGTAAATGGAATTTTCCATACCGTTCGAAAGATATATCAGCTCAACTTGAAATTTCTTGACGGCAAACAACCGGAGTTCGTAAATTCGATGAGGGAAAGCGTATCCATTCTAAAACTGAAGCTCTTTTAAAAGTCTGTCTCACGCGGAGTTTCGAAAACCCGAGGAGTAATCGCCAAGTTTACCTTTATTATCTCTTCTCATTAAACTAAAGGAAATTGTTAATCTTGAAACACGGCGAAGAAAATAGGAGAGAATTCCTTTAAAACTTACGTCGACAAGGATGAAGCCGGGGAAAGAAAAATGAACACCCGACGAAACTTTCCTCCTTCGCTCATAATTTTACACATCAAGCCTGGGCCCTCACACTTTCAACTTTCCCCGCCTCGATGGTTAATTTTATTTCGCCCGGGATTCGTTACACCTGACCGCTGCGTGCTCCCATCCGAACCAACCAAGTTTCGTTCTCTTCTTACGTTCTTTTCTCGTTTAATTCGCTGCGTACGACGTGTTAGCGAGTTTATTAAGAGCAATCTATCTTAGGGCAGCCAATCTCGATCCCGGGACGCTTTAATCTTTTTCCACGTTGGCTCGTCGCTCCTCGCGAAATATCATCGTCCCCCTTGCCGTAAACTCGATCGAAGCTACGTTCGATTCGTCTCTATCCTTTCGTCTCTTCTCGTTGACTAATGATGCCTCGCGACAGACATTTTACGCTACGCGCGAACTCGACGGATTATTAATTTACACGATAAAATTGTCAGCCGAAATTGTTCGAATTTATCCGCGTCATGGCTGGGAACTTCATTCGGGAAGGTCGAATCAATCTCCATCACTCTTACAAAACGACCCCGACGATAATTGGCTAACCTGAATTAATTGTTTCCAAACGATCTTCGAACCAGGGTACACCCTCTCCCGTCTAATTATCGCCGTAGAAGCGATTAATCCGCTGGCTTTTCGTCAAATTACTACGCGTTTCCCCCGGATTAGTACCTTACAAATGATCCTGAACTTTGATCTCGAAATCTAAGGCGAGAATTGTGTTTTAAATATGCTACGTAGAGAATAACAATTTTTCGTACTTTTACACATTTTCAAGTTATTCTACAGTAGCTGTAGCTCAAAGTCGCATTAGGGGTGCAGAAACGTGGGGTGAGAGGGTCGACCTGGTATTGGTTATATGGAGATTCTAACAACTTGATAAAGATTTCAGAGAATCCATATTTTTCATATTTCATGTTTGTAGTTACCAACACGTGAACACTCGTTTCCAACGAGAGTCCAAAAAGAAGCTTTTGTCGTTTACTCGAGTAATGTTTTGTCTCTGATATTCATCACCGGGTCAGATATTCGGCGTCTGACTAATATAGCCCCGTTTCACTTGCTCCGGTGTGGAGCAAGCTTCTGAAGACGCGCGTTACTTAAAGGGACCCGCTCGCGTGCTTTACAAATCGCTTCAAAGGTGAAACGTTTCCTAGGAAGCACGAGAAGTTTCATTGAAATTGAATGTCACGCTCCGAGAACGAGAAAAATATTATTATTGCTCGTTCGCATCGTCTCCACAGTGGGAGAAATAAGTTTCCGTAAATAAAATGTCTGCTGGAGAAGTTCCCATGTTTCTCATTGATGCTTTATAGCGATCTTCCCAAACGAACCGGAGCACAAGTTTATTTTATTTTATTTTATTTTATCTGGGCTCGTATTCGATAAACGTTTGTGTTTGAGTTCGGTAGATCGTTGGAGGAGTTGCCAAATATTCGCGACATATTGGAGAATGGATCAACATCGTGGCGACTTCTACTGAGAGTGGAATAAAGTCGTAGCGATCGCGGTCGAGCAAATTCCCCGGGGAACAAAACAGTTTGTTATTTGATTCGCTCGACCCCGTTGCGAACCGTTCGTCCAGCAAAACCTCTCGCAAGATCTCGAAAATATCGATCATCCTGTACCCGTCGACGTTGTTTCTAATTCTTGTCTCGGAATTCCGCGCATCGACCGGCCGTTTAATTGATGAGATTGCACTTTCGGAGAATCGCGAGTCGTTATGAGAAGCAGAGTAATACTAAGTGCCAATTCCGTTTTGGGAAATTCGTCGAGAGTGGCACTTTCGCCTTGCGAGAAGTTTTACAGCCAGCAGCTTTTAATTAATCGCGAGCGAGACGGTGCTTTTTGCTCTCGTTCTGCCTCTCGACACCGGCCTGAAACGGGTGTGAATAATTAATGGCTTCTTCTGGGCGATGCGTCTTCGCCAGATAGGAGTAGAAATAACTATCATACGTGCGGTTAGTGAGATTTAATCATCAAGTTTTATTTAACGACACACGGTGGCTTAGTTCGAAGGAAACGCGAATTTTTATGTATATAAAAATAAATGAGTGATTTAAATATTTTTATTAACAATCGTTAGAGTTCAGTAATCGTAGAAGTGTATTTTTGTACCGTTTTACATGCACGATTTGTCTCGTTTAATAGGCTGCCTTCTTGCCATGTTTGCCATCATTTTCTAGACTAAACTGTTACGCTGAATTGATGTTATTTCAGGCTATTGCACGCTCCCGAGCATATCTATTTATATTTACAGCAGACAATGGAGGCAGATACGAAGTATCGGTCGCTGACGAGGGTGCATACAAAAGAGGTCACGTTTATGCACGTTAATGCATCTTACATCGCAACAATATACCATCAAGTATTTCATGGGTGTGTTTAGATATGCAACGGTCGCAATTTCATGATTCAAACATGAGTTACCTCGCGTTGAGAACTTCAGTTCCTGTTTATATAGGATTAGCGAGGTGTGCTGCGCTTTGCTCTGGCTCTGTACACTTGGAAAGTATCAAACGCACCATGATCTAGTCTTTAAATTCGTGTAAAAATTAAACCAGTGTTATACAGGGTGTCCGGCCATTTCTAGGAAAAATATGAATGGAAGATTCATAGAGGCCAAAATAACATGAAAATCAAGAATACCAATTTGTCGATTGAGGCTTCGTTAAAAAGTTAACGCTTAAAGTTCCATACTTACCGGAAAATTTTTTGCCCAACAAAAAAAATCTTGTATCGTTCTGAAAAATTTTTTTTCGGTTACAGGGGTTAATTACAATTATTTTTTGTGGATAGACATACCCCTGAATTCCTATTCAGTTTCGAGAAAAAAATTCAGGAAGGTGGACATATTTTTCGGCGAAATTAAAAAATTTCAAATCATTCTAAAAAAATTATTTTCAGTTTCGGGGGTCCGTTATAATCATTTTTGGTGAATAGACATACCCCTGAAATCCTATCCACTTTCGAGACAAAAATTCAGGAATGTGGGCATATTCTTCGGCGAAATTAAAAGATTTCAAATCATTCTAAAAAAATTATTTTCAGTTTCAGGGGTTCGTTGTAATCATTTTTGGTGGATAGACATATCAATGAAATCCTATCCAGTTTCGAGAAAAAAATTCAGGAAGATGGGCATATTTTTCGGCGAAATTAAAAAATTTCAAATCATATTAAAAAAAATATTTTCAGTTTCGGGGGCCCATTATAATCATTTTTGGTGAATAGACATACCCTCGAAATCCTACTCACTTTCGAGAAAAAAATTCGTGTAGGTGGAAAAAATTTTATTAATAATTTTGTTATTAATTGATTTTCGTCTTATTTTGACGTCTAGAATCTCTCATTAAAATTTTCCCAAGGGTGGCCGAACACCCTGTATATTATAATATCACGCGACTCACATTTTTTTTATTCTACTTTAATTATGAATGAGAATTTGTATTTAAATATAATTCCTAGAGCGTTAAGCGATCTTGGAAGTACGTCTTGTCATTGTTAACGACAGATTAATGTTTCATTGAGTTGGAAAGGACAACGCGAGCTCGCGCCATTATCTTTCATTGACGGTACTCGGTCATCCGGACCGGCAAACTTCGCAGACACCCACGCCTTGTCTGCGCGGCGTCGATCGAGGGACTACCGCCAATCGCGTGACTTTACCCACGCCACCACTTCCGGCGAAACGCGATCGTGAATCGAGACCCGGAAGCTGGGATAGAGACCTACGCGACCGCCTAATGCGATCGCTGGTAACTCGATTAAATTCGCTGGACCGACGTCAGGCACGCTCTTCATAGTACCGCGTGACCCGTGTCGTTCCCCTTGGAATTTATTAAATAACTTTCAGAAGAGCTAAATGGAAAATGCCTTTAACGAAAGGTTGAAAAGGATCGAGGGACGCATTTCGTTTGTCGAATTTCACGAAAGCAGCTTGTAAATAAAGAAATTTGAAGAAAGATCCGCGTGGGGGAGAGCGATTCGCTTTCTGTCGG